TCTTTATAACCTACCATCCAAATACAACCACTCTAAAAAATCTGTCTGTCTGTCATATCTCCTTATAGTTGTTTTCTTTATTCAATACACACACATTTGCTAAATTTCCTGCTTATTTCTTCTTAATACTGTACATAAGCATTTTTCCATGTTCTTCAACTTTCTTCAAAATGGAAGTTGTAATGCTGAATGGAGTGGCTTCACTGCAATCTGTCATCTTTTTAATTTTTTAGATTTTTGTCATAGAGCAAGTCCACTCAGGAGAGAGACCGAGACCTTCCTCCTTCAATTTCCTCTCAGGATTTTGGAAACGCGTGCATATGCGCCTAGTGGGTTACCGCTGGGTCCAGGACTCAAACCACACACTTGGCCATGTGGGATCCAGTGCCTCTTGCTGGCCCATAATCTGTCATCTTTTTAAAATAATTTTATTTAACTTTATTTATTTATTTTCTAATTTGACCAGAGAGGGACAGAGCGAGAGAGAGAGGGAAAGTGAGAAAGCAAGCTTCCAGGTCCAGGGTTCCAACCGAGTTAGACTCTGTGAGAGTCCAGTGACCTTAACCACCATGCCACCTGCTGGCCCCATATAACCTGCCATCTTTTATGTAACTAAACCCTTAACTTGAGATATGTGAGTTGTTTTCAATATTTTACAATGGCAAATAAGGTTCAGCAAATAGTACTGTACACAAATGTTTGTGTACTTTTCTGATTATTTCTCTATGACAAACTCCCAAGACTAGAAATACTATATCGAATAATATGAATATTTTTCAGCCTCAATATGTGACTGCCCAGTTGCTCTCCCAATAGGATGTATTACAGTGTAGCGAAAGCTTATTTAAACTCAATTTCATCATATTTTTTCCTACCTTTCCTAATCTGCATGGTAAAAATTAGTATCTTCTAAATCATGAATAGCTTTTCATTAATCGAGTTTAGAAGTGTTTAAGAGTTAAGCATAAACTTATTTTACAACCCAGCAGTATTATTCCCAGGTATTTACTCAAGAGAAGGTAAAATAAATGCCTGCAAGGACTTGTGTAGGCCCAAAGCAGAAACGATCAAAGTGTCCATGAACCGATAAATGGATAAACTGTGGCTTATTCATACTCTGGAATACAATTCAGCAATGAGAAGGAACAGAATATTTTTTTTTTGAGAGGTTTTTTGCTATAGGGCACATATGCTTGCCAGACAGACAGAGAGAGACATAGAGACAGAAAGCGAGAAATCAGCCCCCAGGGGGGATGGTCACGCCGCAATCCCTTCTCCTCCATTCTCCTCTCGGGATCTTGGGCACGCACGCACACGCGCCCGGCGTGAGTTCTAAGCCACCGGGTCCGGGACGCGAACCGCGGTCGACTACGTGGAAGTCCAGCGACATAGCCATTACACTAACTGCTGGTTCCCAGGAACAGAATATTAATGCAGGTGAGAATTAGAATGAATCATAGAAACGGTGCACAAGGAAGGAGGCCAGACACAGAGCACGGTACATGGATGTTCGGCCGTGACTTTCCCGGACAGAAAGCAAGTCAGTGGCTGTCTGGGGCCAAGGGCAGGGGCCGGGGCTTTGGGAAGGTATGGAAAAACATTTCGAGGTAATGTAATTATATCCTGATTGTGACAGTGGCTGCACAACTGTAAACACACTTCCCCAAATTCACCAAGCCTACACTTAAAATGGGTGAATTTTACCATGTGCAAATTATTCCTCAAGAAGGCAAGAGAAAAAAAAAAAAAAAAACAGAAACAAAACCAGAAGTAACTGATAAACATTTGGGAAAATTAACTTTTCCAAACATAGAAAAAAAAAAAAAATCAAAACAAAAGCAAAAATCATTTAGAAAAATTTTGGGGGAAAATCTCATTTTCATTTTTACATATTTCCTTCCAGTTTTTATTTGTATTTATACATACTCTATATAGATATAATTTTAGAGTATAAGTGAATTTGTATTTTTTTAAGATTTATTTAATTCCATTTGGTATCATTATTATTTTTAATTTGACCAGAAATAATCAGAGAGAGAGAAAGAGAGAGAGAAAGGGAAAGCGAGAGAGCAAGCTGCCAAATCCGGGACTCGAACCATAGTTGGCCATGTGGGAATCCAGCGCCTTTAACCACCATGCCACCTGCCGGCCCCGTAAACTAGTATTTTAAACATTTTATATTACCAAGAAATTTACATATTTCTATATAGTTCTATGACTATAATTTAAAATAGCTATACATCATTGTCCAAAGCCCAGAACTCTTAGGTGAATTACCAAATGTAAAAGCAGGTGATTCCACAATATCTGAATGCCACCCAGTGGACAAACTGTGTAATGTTTGAGAGCGAACATCATTTTCTAAATTTTATAGTTTATAAAAATGAATTTAATGTTAAAAAATTAAAAAAATAATTTTAATATTTAAATATTTATTACAAAATGGAAACAAGACCATTGTACACATTTACTACATTACGGACTTTTTATTTTTTTTTTGGAGAAGTTTTTGATATAGGGCGCGTGCCCTCGCCAGAAAGACAGAGAGCGACAAAGAGATAGAAAGTGAGAAATCACCCCCCAGCGGGGATGGCCTCGCCGCAATCCCTTCTCCTCCATTCTCCTCTCGGGATCTTGGGCGCGCACGCACACGCGCCCTGCGTGAGTTTAAGCCACCGAGACTGGGACTTGAACCGTGGTCGGCTACCTGGGAGTTCGGCAATATAGCCATTATGCTAACTGCTGGTCCCATACATTATGGTCTTTTTCTTGAAGTAACTTAACTCTTAAATCAGAATCTAAA